CTCCAGGACGACAGGCTGGAGCAGTGGACTGGGGCAAGGGTTGTGTGGGCTTCAGCGTGGCTGGGCTTCATCTGCCCCCATAAAGCCTTATTTTTTTGTGTGTGAATCCTAAGCTGTTTCCAAAAGCTGGCATCCAGGTAGTTTGCATCTGATTCCTTTGCTACCTAATGAACAGCCTCTGTAGTTCGAGCTGTGATGTCATTAGCTTCTCATTGCCTTGGGCACCAACTCAGGAGAGAGATGCTTAAGCAGTCCCAGAGGCCTACAGAAATTTTGCCAATTTACTTCACAACCACTAAGTCACCTTCCTGACCTGTCAATTCCCACCAGAAGAGCAGACGCTGCATGAGAATGGGTCAGTCACTTTTATCACCCTCGTTTGCTCCTGAGTCGAGGTGGGCTACTCTGTCCATGCCTAGGGTCATGGGCACATCCACAATGAGATGTGAGCATTAAGGTTGCCAATATTCTCACACCACAAGATTCTATCGGGAAAATTCATCCACTGTGTGCTGTAGGAGACAGATTTAGCCTAAAGCAAATGGCATTTATTTATAGCAAACTGGATTTGCAAAATGCGTTGCAGTTTTAGGGTTGTTAACTACATTCCAGGTGGAATGTTCTTCTACTTGTAAGTAAGTGAATTGTCATGGCTGGGTCCCAGTGCCTCCCTGGATCAATGGGGTGAATTCTGCAAACAGGGCTGGGGGAGCCACACCTGGGTAGTCTTTATCACAAGGCACCTTTGCCAACAATAACGTTCTGAATCCTTAATTGTAGCTTATCTCATAAGTCCAGAGACTATGTATTTAATGAACTGGAATATTTCTTTTTTTTTTTTTTTGAGTTGGAGTCTCACTCTGTCGCCCAGACCGGAGTGCAGTGGCCACTCCCGGCCACCGCAGCCTCGACCTGCTGGGCTCCGGCGATCCTTCTGCCTCAGCCTTCCAAGTAACTGGAACTACAGGCGTGCATTACCATGCCTGGCTCTTTTTTTCATTTATTGTAGAGATGAGGTCTCGCCAAGTTGCCCAGGCAGGTCTCGAACCCGCGGGCTCAGGCAATTCACTCGCCTCAGCCTCCCAAGGCGTGGGATTACAGGCTGAGCCACCGAGCCCGGCTTGAAATATTTCTTTTACTAAGCATCCCATTTCAAATCGCTAGGATATTTCTACCCAGACCTAGAGAAGGGAAGAGGGAAGAGGTTCCCCAAACTGTAACAGGCCTGGACACCAGAAGGGGCCAGCTACTGACCCATAAGGAAATAAGGTGGTGTCCCCTTGCTGTAACACTCCACACACACCTTCCTGCCATTCACTCCAGCACAGGGGGAGTTAAAACCAAATGTCAAAGATCAGCCTCTCCCCAAGCTTTTAGGGCCTAAACTACTCTTTCACTTTCCACAGACAGGATGGTTATAGGTGCTCTCTTTGGGCTAAGGGAGATTTATCTGGGCTTTCACCACTGGACTCTATCATTTTAAAGAGTATTTCCCAATTGGATCTTTAACTGCACATAGGAAATGCATTTCTCCTTTGAAAAATCTCTCTCTCACACACGTCTCTATTCTTTGCCGGATCCTAAATAGATGGCTTTGGGGAGCTCTCTGCGCATCACTCCCGTGTAAATCCTGCTCATCTCTGGACAGCTCCATCCTGCCCCACGAGGGGACCAGAGGGGCGGTTGGTCTTTGTCTTCAGCAGGATCCTTTTTATATGGACCTGAAGATTTTGGGGGGACAGAAATGTGATTCTGAATTAAGACGAGCGTGTGGTGGGCTCCCGGCGTCGTTTCCTACGACCTCCGTTTCTTTCCTCTCTATTTGCTAACCTTGCCAATTCCTCGGGCTGAAGGATTTCGAGGGATAATCGCTGCATCTTGATTTTAATTGGAATCACCTCGGACCTTCCGCTCCAGGCGGTGCTTGTGGTCGCGGCGCCCTCTAGTGGCCACGTGTGTCTGTTCTAAGTCATTGAATGAGTTGGGGTGAGAGAAGAGTCCCTGGGTATTTGGGGATTTAAAGTGAGAAGAAAGGAGTTTAATGGTATATTACTTCCCCTTTGAAGCAACTTCTACTCCATGTTAAGGATCCTGGGGGGAGGGGTGGGTACTTTCCCTTCTGAGTTTACTGTTTCTTGATTATCCTGTCAGTACTTATGTCTCTGTTCTTTTCTCCTTAGGATAAGTGGTCTGGAATTGTTTTACTCCCTAATTTTTTATAATCTGATTGAAAAAAAATTGTTCCTCCACCAAATTTTTAAAAGGAGCTGTGTGTTACTTTTCCATAAGTTTATTTTCTATGGGGCCAAAATGGTCACACAAAATGTATTCTCTTTTCTCTCACAAGTCATTTTAGACTGAATGTCACCATCTAGCGGTCATTTTGTGAAACTCTTTCCCCAGCCTCTGTTGAAGGTATTCTCAACAAGGGGGGCTGTGGGTCGGCAAGGAGAGGCATCTGACTGTGAGAGGCCTGAGAGCCCACCAAGAGACCCTCAAGCCTGGGATGGCTTGCATGGCAACAGTTTAAAAATGCTATTTTGAAAATAAAGTGCATTTTTGCTGATTTCATTTTGTAGAGGGGAGGAATTTACTTTCTCAGTGAATAAAGGCCTGGTTGCCCAGAAATCACACTACAGATCCAAAGATCTTACCCCCACCCCTACTTATTCCTACCCAGTACATTTAGTATATGGAAAAAGACAACCGGACTTGGTGGCTCAGCCTGTAATCCCAGCACTTTGGGAGGCTGAGGTGAGTGGATTGCCTGAGCCCGCGGGCTCGAGACCCGCCTGGGCAACTTGGCAAGACCTCATCTCTACAATAAATCAAAAAATTAGCCGGGCATGGTCGCGCATGCCTGTAGTTCCAGCTACTTGGAAGGCTGAGGCAGAAGGATCTCTGGAGCCCAGCAGGTTGAGGCTGCGGTGGCTGGGAGCAGCCACTGCACTCCAGTCTGGGTGACAGAGTGAGACTCCAACTCAAAAAAAAAAGAAAAGAAAAAGACTGGAGACCTGGCCAGGGACTGGAGGAGGCCATTCTGGGGTCACTTTACAAATACTCTCAACCATGGGGTAGATAGAGCTGCATAAGCCTAAGTGTTGATGAAGATATACCTGTGGGTGTTGTGATTTGAGGGCTAGTTCTAATTGATGCCAACCTTCCTATTTTCAGTGTGTGCAGTTATGCAGTTCTCTTATGATTCAGGAAGGGCCTGGACCATTATTAAACAAAATGCAAATGTGAACTGAATTGTATACCATATTGGTAGCCCCCGAGTCCTTTGCTTTTAACTCGAAGGAGTCCAATGTCAATGGCACTGCTAGGTAAAGATACCTCATCTGCCTCATGATGATTTTTCTATGAAAGAGATCCAACTGTGCTGAAATGCTCAAGCCACTTCCAAATCAGCGCATATCACACAGCAAACAAGATGACACAGCAGAATGCTCCCTGGATACCCTAAGAGAAAACTCTTATCAAGTCGATGAGTCATATCTCACAGTCACCTTCTGGAGCCACTTTGCAAATCCTTCCAACCAATTCCTCCAAAGACCCAGCCCATCAAGTATCACATTCTTGATGAGTCTGAGGGATCCAGGATGAATGTTTTGTATTTGTTCATTATTTCCAAAAGCCCAGCGGTCTCTTTGAAATTGTTTCATGTTCAGAGCTACAACAGTGCTGAAAGGGGTCAGGAATCTCTTAAGAAATCCAGTGGCTTTTTGTCAGCAAACTCTACTTCCATCTTCCTTTAGAATTACTAAGTTAGATGAAGGACTGGAAACAGAAATATCAAGCAGTGTTTTTTTTTGTATAGGGAACAAACCATTCCTCTCTGGCAGATATTTCCCATGTTTGCCACCCAGATATTTCCCATGTTTGCCACCAAAGATAGGCCAAAGGCTTCTTTATCTACCTTTATTCATCAAGCACAATTGATATGGATTCATCTCTCTGGCTTTGGCATGCAAATCTTTTTGGAAAAGTCAAAATTCCATTCCCAACTTCAATACATTGATTAATAATGAAGCAGATAAATCCTTTTCTTCTTCCTCTATGACCTAAAGACTTGGGAATCAGACAAAAGTGGATTCAAATTCCAGCTCTCACAATATACTGACTGTGTGAACTTGAAGCTCTTGGTGTTACTTTCCTTATCTATAAAATGGGTCAAAAAACTGAAGAGAGTTACAGTGGTTAAAGGTGATCAAGATCTTGAATGGATCTCACTTTTAAAGTACAGGCTTCAAGCTGGGCTCGGTGGCTCAGCCTGTAATCCCGTGCCTTTGGGAGGCCGAGGTGAGCGGATTGCCTGAGCCCACGGGTTTAAGACCCGCCTGGGCAGGCGAGACCTCATCTCTACAATAAATCAAAAAATCAGCCGGGCGTGGTAGCGCGCGCCTTTAATTCTGGCTACTCGGAAGGCTGAGGTGGAAGGAGCCCAGTAGGTCGAGGCTGTGGTGGCCGGGAGCAGCCACTACACTCCAGTCTGGGCGACAGAGTGAGAGTCCAACTCAAAAAAAAAAAAAAGTAGAGTACAGGCTTCATGAATCTCAGCTATATTTATGGTTAAAACTGTTGTGATGATGGTTTGACATGTGCTAACCATTGGGCAAGGTGCTTTAAAAGCAACCTGCCATTCATTCATTTCACAAGGCTGAGGTGGATACTGCTAATATCTTCATTTTTTCAACACAGAGACTGAGTCGTAGGACAGCCACTGTTGTTGGTTGTGTTCTTGCGGGGGTGGTCGTCACAGTTCCTGCAGAAGCGTCCCTCCAGGGGGAGTCAGTGGAGCTGATGATGCTCAGAAAGGGAGTAACCCTGGCTCACACCTGGAAGGACCATTTCCAACTCTGTAGGTCACAGGAAGGGTGGATGCCCCAGATTAAGTGCATTTTCTGACCTCCCGAGAACTGGACCCCAGCACTCACAAGGTCATACCAGTTCTTGTTCTTTTGACTCCCTCACTCTTTCTTTCCGTTTGTATCTGGCAGGCAACTCCCCATCCGATGAGTCAGAGGAGCGGGAAAGAGACCCCAAGGTGCTGACGTTCCCAGAATACATCGCCAGTCTGTCAGACTCTGGCACCAAGCGCATGGCGGCCGGAGTCCGCATGGAGTGCCAGAGCAAGGGACGATGCCCCTCGTCTTGCCCCCTGTGTCACATGACATCCAGTCCTGACACCCCTGCTGAGCCTGTTCTGCTGGAGGTGACCAAAGCAGCCCCCATCTATGAGCTAGTGACCAACAACCAGACCCAGAGGGTAAGAGGCCCGGGACTCTTGACCCTGGGAGGTGTCAGCAACAACAGAGGGCTTTCCAAATGGCGTGGGGGAAGCAACAGGGAGCAGTTGGACACCATGCTGGAATCTGGGTAGTGAGGCTTTTTGTTTACAAATCTGGACACCTAATTTGCTTAGATTTGCATGTTTCCACATTAAGTCAAATCATTGCACCCACAACACCCATAGTAATATGATTCAGAAGTCACAGCTGAGTACTGGTTGAAGACTTTGAACCAAAAGGGACTGGAAGAAAGGAGGTAGATAAGGGGAGGCACAACACTTGCAATCGAGGCCCCCATCCTGCCCTTGTTGGAATGGGAGGTGAGCTAGCCCCCCTTGCAGGTCTTCAGGCCCCAACCAGAAGCAACTGGACTGGAAAGAGCATGTTGGGCAGGGGTCTCATAGGGAAGGATTTGGCAGCCTCGACCTGGAGAAGGTTGGTTTCCTGCCCATCAGTCTGGCTCTAAGAACAAAAGGCCACGTCTGTACAGATCTTTCTGCCTTTTATTATGCTGCTGGGTCAGAACTCCCTCCCAGCCACTCCTCCTCTGGAGCCTCTGCCTCTCCCTTCCCAAAGCTGCCAGGAGGCATCTGGCTGGACTCAGAAGGAGAGGCTGGAGACTAGTGGCAGAGGCAGTGGCTCAGCTCATTCCCCAGATGGCCCACCTCCTCAAGAACACAGAGATCAGAGTGACTCAAGATACACAACAACAACCACTACAACAAAAGTGAAAACGAAAACACTCCAGGGGTGGGACATCTGAGTCTCTGGGCAAAGGCAGCCCTGAGGGCATGACAGCAGGAGCCGCAGCAGTGAGCTGTGCCCACCCAGGTGGGGTGATAATTGCTTTCTGTTTCTCCTTTAAGGAACACCTGGTGTGTCACAGTTTGTTTCTTAGGTAATGCCCAGACAACAGGAGGGATTTCGTATGTGTGTGTGTTTCTCTCGCCTACCCACCTCTGCCACAGATATTTCATTGAGTGTTTGGAAATAAGGGTTTTCACAGGAAAAAAAAGAAATTGTTCTCATGGCCTACAAATTCCTCTCCAGTCTGACAGAGGCAGCTATGGGAAGATAAGAGAGAATTGGAGAAAGAGACCGCCCTGGAAGGGTGGCTCAAAGGGATAAAGAAATGGAGGACCTTGGGTCACAGAGACCCAGAGCTGCAGTGGCCTTGGCTCAATGCTCAGCCTCTCCTTCTCCCCTAACCACCCCTGTAGACTTCTGTGAGCACCCAAGTCTGTTGCAGTGGATACCTCAAGAGCTCCTGGGCTACTTGCCTGGAAGCAGCAAGTCAGAGTGAGAGTGAATGCCCAGAGCCGTCCTGTGGCACGGGCATGCAGAGCTGGGCGGGCGGGGGGTGGCGGGGCAGGTACATGCAACCTGAGCTTCCTGCTCAGGGATCTCAAGCAAAATGAGGAATCCAGAGGGGGGCCTGTCTTCAGCAACCCCCTTCTGGATCCCCTACTTGCCAGACTGTCCCTCTCTTCCTATACCAGTCTTAAGAGATGGGTTGGCAGATGCTTTCCATCTGGCTGTATTTTGAACACCCTAGTCTCTATACACATAAGCAAGGTGACCCTAGCTGGAGTTCAGTTACCATCACTTGTTTCTTGCTCTCCTCTCTTCCTTGGACATTCTCTCTTCGGCATCCTCTCTGTTCTTCTGTGTTTCCTTCTAATTTTGCCCTTTGCTAAAGAACAGAGATGAAAAGTGAAGAAACTACAGAGCAGAAGGTGGCTAAGTCACAACGTTAGTCACTCAGTGTGTGTTTTTAATTTCGATCTCTCTGGAATGTCTCTGGGCCTGCTTTCTGACCTTTCTTGGTCTTGGTGTCCTCCTTCCGTTAGTCTATATAATCTCTGATGCCATATTTCAGCCTAATCTTGATTATGATAAAGAAAAAGTTAGGTCAAATCATGTAACCAACCAGATATCGCAAACCCCACAAATTTGGACTCACCGTCTTCCATGCCAAAGCCATACCTGCTGTGCTTCCATCCCAGTGAATGGCACTGCCGTCCTCAGAGTTGCCCAAACCAGAGACTAGGTGTGTGCCCTACAATTTCCTCAACATTCCCAACAGCTATTCCTTCACCAAGAGTCGCAAATATCTCTTGAAGCCTTCCTCTTTTATGAATCCCCCTGTCACAGCCTAAATATTCCCAGCATCCACTGTGATATTAGGCTACTGTCTTATTAGAATAACCTACTTACTGGTCTCCTTGTCAGGAGACCAAGAACTGTCTAATACGGACTTTGGATAATTTGGCATCGCAGTACTTTAATAGTTCCGCAGAGTCTATTGAATACAATCTAACGTCTTTAGTACATCATTACAAGGCAGTTTGTGATCCAATTTTGTCTTCACTTACATAGTTAGGTTGCTACTATCTGTACTTTATGCTTCAACATTTAACTGCATGTCACTCCTGAAACACGACACACTTTCTTTCGTGCATCTCACCCTTCAGATTTGAACTCTTTGTCCCAAGAATGTCCTTACCCACATTTCTGGGAACCACTGGAAAACTCCTGCTATTATACTCCTGCTAACTCCTGAAAACTCCTGCTATATCAAACATCATCAGCTGCTAGGAGTCCTCTTGTCCTCCCAGGTCAACACAGATATCCATTTGAGTAATTCCCATTGTGTGTGGATGCATCCATTACAGCACACATCACCTATTATCATGGTTGTTTACATAATTGCTTACCACCCTCTAGACTTTGAGAGATACTTTTTCTTCTGTGGAATCCTAGTGCCTAGCATCGGTTAATGCATAATTGCTGCTCAGCTAAAGAAATGAATGAATAGATGAGTAAGTGGATAATGGATGTATGTTATCTAGAATGGATAGATGAATTTGGCTAAAAAGTTCAGTTAGAGAAACACAAAAACAAAAATTGGAAAATGTTATTTCTTTCCTGGAATCAGGATTAAATCTAATAACAAATGTGGTTTCCCATGCAATGCCTAGCACCTTGTAGGAACTAGGAAAAATGTAGTTTCCTTTTTTCTTTATTTCCAAATGCCTTCCTTCTTAATTCCTCTCTTCTACCCTCATCCAACCATTTTCAGTTACATGCAGCTCAGGATTCAGACAGCAGGAACTCTCACAGAGCAGTGTGAATCAGAGATGGAAAGTCAAAGCTTTTCAAGAAATGGCATCTGCAGTGTTTGCTATCATAGGTGCTTGTCCTCACTCCTTTGGATTGAAGATCTGATCATGCTGGTCCACTGCTTAAAATACTTTGATGACTTACCATGCTCTTCAGATGTGCCCCTGTCTCGCTGTGGCCCACAAGGTTCTCTCTATTCCAGCCCTGCCTCCCTCTCATGCTTGAGTGTCTCTGCCCTCCACTTTGTCTTTTACAGACAGACCAACCTTTCCTCAGTTTCTTCCAGGCTTAAATCTTCTTAATCTTGTTATTTCTACTTGGAGCTCTACTCCAGCTTTTGTGACCAGATAACTTTTGATCCAACCCTCAGAGCTCAGATAAAAGGTCACATTCTCACGGAGGCTTCCTGAACCCCTCTGTGGGATAATCCATTCTTCCTTATCCCTCCTTCCACCGTATGTGCTCAGAGCACTTAATGCTTTACCTTTGGAGCCCTTGCCACAGGTGTGGCGTTTGGGTTGTTTAGGTAACTTTTGTTTGCTTGTTTATCATCTGACTATAAGATATGTGTAGCCAGGGGCCGTATGTGTTTTGTGCGTCTGTGTATCCTCAATGCTGAACACAAGAAATGGTGCCTTGTAAGTGCATAGCAAATCATGGTTGACTGAAGACCCTGTGAGGGTTGCTCCTTTATCCTATCTGTCTCAGAAAGTCGACTTTTCTAGATTTCAGCAATACACCTTTTGATTTGAATTTGGTTCAGGCAGGTAAGGCATAAAGTGAGTACTTACTGGTCACTGCTTCACACTGGGAGTGGTTGGATACAGAGTTAGGAGTGTCTGTTGGAAAGAGCTGGATGCTCTTTGTGTTATGCTGAACCCACATGCTGGTGCTGCCCTGTCCACAGACCTGTGACCCTGGGCAAGTCATCTTACCACTTTTTTTTTTTTTGAGAAATAAGGATTTATTGAGAGGACAGTAAAGCTTCCACAGTGGGAGGGGACCCAAGGGAGTTGCCCCACCTCACCTCTTTGACTCTCAGTTTCCTCCACTGTAAATTGTGATAATGGGCCCTCAAAGGGTCAGCATCTAAAAGGGTTTCATAAATTCTAAAACTCTGCACAAATTATAGTTTTATAATCAAGAATTAATTTCTGTTCTCTAGAGGCTCCCAATTTGGGGAGGGGTTAGTATGGTCCTTATTCCAACGATTCAAATATAAGGTGGCCTAGGTAAGGTTCTGAAGGAAGGGACATGAGATGCTGGCTTCAGGTTTGGAAATTTTATTTTTGTTGAGTTATCTCTTTCTTCTTTTCTTTCTTTCTTTCTTTCCTTTCATCTTTCTATCTTTCTCTGCCTCTCTCTCTCTCTTCTTTTTCTTTCTCTCCTTTCTTTTTCTCTTTCTACTTTCTTTTTTAAATTTTCTCTTTTTTTTTGCTTCTATTTATTTATTTATTCTTTTTATTTATTTATTTTTATTTTAAAGATGTGGGATGCAATTCAGAGTTAGGTATACAAATGTTCATTATGCAGGTACCCTTGTTGATGAGGCATGCCCCTCCCTCCACTTTCAGTTTTCCTCAACTGCCAAACCCACCTTCCTTCCCCGGACAGTTTCCCACTACTGCCAATTAAATTTTCTAACATTTTCCATGTTAGCTAGGCTATATTTCTCTAACCTACCGATCAGTTTTGGGCATGGTAAGAGTAAAAAGGGTAATCCCAGGAAACCACCAAAGCTGCAGACGTTGAATTAACCCAGAGACAAAGCCCAGCTGTGTCCAGCCCTGCACCTTGTGGCTGGTCCCCCTCGCCCTAGGCTGGAGGTGAGGCAGCAGGACCCCACTAAGGGGTCAGAACCCTATCAAGAACCGCTTCCTCACCAGGGAATTGTCCCATCACAGGTTCTGTTACCTCACTGGTCTAATGTTATTCTTCTGTCCTTTTATTCAATAGTAAATATCTCTGTAAAGAATTCTGCTAAGCTCTGTGATGGTTACAAAGTTCGACATAAGACTCAAATCCTGTTATTCAAAGATAATAATAATTGCTGGCATTTATTGGTGACTAATGTATACCAGGTACATAGTACATATTATTTCATTTGTCACATATTATTTTATTTAATTGTCACAACAAGTTTTGGAGGAAAGTTTTATTTTTATCCCATTTTATCATGGAGGAAACTGAGTTCAGGCTGCTCCCCCAAAGCCACTTGCAGTGATGGGCAGAGTTGAAGCCCGAGCCTAGAGCAGACGGCTCCCAGGCTAACTCAGCCTGTTCCACGCTGCTTTTTCTGTTCATGATCTACTAAGAAATGCCCCATGCCTCATTACAACCCAAGGCAGAATTATGTAAATGTTGCAGGCAGGATACAAGGCATGCTGAAGGAATGCCAAGGGAACACTGGGGCAGCTATGGATGCACAGCGAGGCCTTTGGGAGAGGGCTGGGTGCCTCTGGACAGAGAGAAGAGGAGCCACCCGGAAGCTATGTGGTGGAGAGGTCATTGTTCCTAGAGCCAAGGGGTGGAATGATGGAGAGGAATGTACAGAGGATGGAGGGTGGAATATGACCTCTCTCAATGTGACAGCCCATAGCCACAGGGTGGAACTGTTATGCTAAAGGGAGAGGGACACCCCAGGGTCTTTCGAGGCTTGGCCTTCCCAGAGACAATCTCTTGGAGTAAGTATGTTAGACCGCAGAATGGTGAAGTTGACACACACCCGTGGCCGGAAGTCACTTAGAGCTCACAGAACCTTGATGCTCTGCCTCTTGACTCTAAGGGCCCAGACTTGGCTTTCCAATGCTCACTCTGTTCCCTGCTCTTTCGTGCAGCTCCTGCAGGAGGCCACTATGAGCTCTCTCTGGTGCTCGGGGACTGGAGACGTCATCGAGGACTGGTGTCGCTGTGACTCCACCGCATTCGGAGCTGACGGACTACCCACCTGTGCGCCTCTGCCCCAGCCCGTGTATGCTTCCCTCTCTTGGCCTCCTCTCTCTTGTGTGTGTGCCTCAGCATCACTCTGAAAATACTCAGTGTCTACTGTTTGCAAGGCAATAGGCTGGGCACTGGGAAATGGAAAAAAGAATATGACATTTTCAATCCACTGGGGAGGCAGGCACACACGTTGTTTTTAGGGGGAGAAATGAGGTGACAAGTGTAACAAGAGACCTTTAAACGAAGTGTGAAAAGGGAATGGCCACGTCTTAATCTGGGCAGTGGTGAAGGCTTCAAGGAGGAGGTCGCACTTGACTCTCCTTGAAGGTGGAGAATGTCGGGCAGCATAGCTAGGAGATAATAGGGATAAAAGCGCATTGGAGGAAGCTAGAGAGTTGAATGAGTTCTCAAATAGACCAACAATACAACCACTTCTTGAACACCTACTGTGTAGAAAAGTTAGATATTGCCCATTTAATAGAATGGATGGGATTGAATAATTATTCCAAAATGAAAGAGTAGGAACCAGAGCCATGGATAAAAGCATGTTCTTAGACATTATAGTAAGAAAAGATCATTCAACAAAAAAGATACCTGCATACATATGTTTGTTGCAGCTCTATTCACAATAGCAAAAACATGGAACCAACCACATTGCCCATCGAAGTTGAACTGGGTTAAAAAAAAATGTGATACATATACACAATGGAATATTATGCAGCCATAAAGAAGGACAGACATATGGACTTCACAGCAGCTTGGATGGATTTGGAGTCGATCATACTCAGTGATCTATCACAGAAACAAGGAGCAGAGTGCCATATGTTCTCATTCATAAGCAGAGCTTGAACAATTATCATAATACTATAAGAAAGGGATTGGCAGTAGCGGGAAACTGCCAGGGGAGCGGGGTGGGATTGACAGTTGAGGGAAACTGCTAGGGGAGGGAGGGGCAAACTTCATTAACAAGGGTACCTGCATAATCAACGTTTGTATACCTAACCCTGAATTGTACCCCACGTCTTTATAATAAAAAATAAAGAAAAATAGAAAAGGATGAAACTGAGAGGTGATTTAGGGTAGAACCAACAGGGCTTCATGGCTGATTGTGGGACTGAGGAGGAAGGAGAAGTTGAGAATGAACTTTAGACGCATGGCCTTGGCAGTCGGGAAGATGAATAGACCACAATGGAGTAAAGACACACCATAGGTTTCACCTGGTGGAGGAGGAAGTCGATTCCATATGGGCTGGCCTTGGTGCCACAGGGGGCTTGTTCTACAGAGATGTTCAGTGTGCAGAAAGAAAGAAGACCTGGAACTCTGCAGAAAAGTAAACACTGGAGATAAGAAGATCTCAATCAACCCCAAAGAAATGAGAGTTGCAACCACAGCTATGAGAAAGGATACTCCGGAACAAGCATCAGGTGGGAAGAGCAGAGTGCTAGGGATGAGCATAAGGGATGTCTGCACTTGAGGAGTGAAGACGAAGTGCTGCAAATGTGTCTGAGAATAAACACGCCCATTTCCTCTTCCTCAATGGAAGAGGAAACATCTGGCCAATCTCGAGGGCCAAGACCCGAGGCAGGAACTCCTCTTAGCCTCTGGTATGGCTTCTGCCACGAAAGTGATGCCTCTGAGTCACCGTATCTAATCAAGAGCTCAGGTAGGACAGGCTGAAGAGCTGGTAAGTCTAGGGTCTGAGGCAAGTGGAGGTCAGGTCCTGTGTGGGTGGAGGGTTAAGTAACCAGGAACAAGTGACTGCAGGAGAAAACCAGCAGGGAGAGGCTGCCCTGCGACTTGCTGTGCAGGTGCAGGTGGGCATCAAAGGGTCAGAATGGAGCAAGAAGAAATCTGAGAGAGAAGAGAATGCAATAGTACAAAGTAGGTTGTAACAAGCCAATGTCTGCTCTTTTTTTTTTTTTTGAGTTGGAGTCTCACTCTGTCGCCCTGACTGGAGTGCAGTGGCCGCTCCCGGCCACCAGACCTCCTGGGCTCCGGCGATCCTTCCGCCTCAGCCTTCCAAGTAGTTGGAATTACAGGCATGCGCTACCACGCCCGGCTGTTTTTTTGTTGTTTTTTGTTTTTATTGTAGAGATGAGATCTCTCTCCCTAGGCAGGTCTCGAACCCACGGGCTCAGGCAATCCACTCACCTCAGCTTCCCAAAGGCGCGGGATTACAAGCTGAGGCACTGAGCCCGGCTAATGTCTGCTCTTGTCCACATCTTCTTTCTCTGTGTAGGTTGCTTTAGGTAATGCCAGCCACTGACTTTTTGCTCTTCATAGTCAGCCCTTGGATCTCTTGAGTTAAAAGAAAATCAAGCTCATTATTAATTTAGTAGAATGGGAGCATCTGAGTGAACCTGCTGCTGTTAGACTGATTCAACAGGTAAGAGAGTTAGCTTTGAAACATCACATGGAAGCCACCAAACAGTTATCCGTTGGACACAGGATCCAGTCATTATGTCCTAGGGCTCATTTTGTTTCTAAACTTGCATTTATGAAATGTCTTAGCAAAAGATTGAACTGGACTAAATTTTTATAGACAGGGAGTGTCTATTAAAGACTTTAGTTTTCCTGGTTCTGTGATCACTTCCTTCAGTAGCAGAGCTTAGTTTCATTTGGATATAGAAACATACTCTCGTTTTACACGAGTCCATGTAAATCATACACATTTTATTTCTCAGAAGAGGCCGAGCTTAGTCCATATTTTCACAGAATCTAAGTTCTCAGAAAGTCTTACTTACTTAAGCTTCTTAATGCTTTTTTCTTCAAAACAGCACTCTGCATATGACTCTAATTAATGAATTTGTCAATATCCGCACTGTTTGGGGTCTATTCCATCTTTAATGTCATATGCAAACTATGCCTTCACAGTAAGCCACCAGCAAAAGGCCATATGTTTTGTATTACTTTCCCACTAGTTGAATTCCTTACCATTGCTCCCACAACCTCCTATAATTCCTTGTTGAAGTTCTTATCACATACTATTATAATCTCACGTATGATAATATATTCCCATTGCCCACTAAGCTCCATAAAAGTTTGGGGTGGGCTTGCACATCACAGCGTCCCCAACACCAAGCACATCCTTATAAGTCATGGGTGCTTCACAAGCATGTGTTGAGTTGAAATTGAAGATTGCATGTTGTTTGGTGCAATTCATTCACAGTGTCTTGCCCAGGGATCCTTGAGACCAACGACAGGCACCTGTGAGCAGAGTGGTGGGAAGGAAGGCCAGGATTGTGGATGGGCATGAGCTATGCGAACCAAGGCCAGGGTGAATGGCAGGGATACATGGAAGGGAGGGTGACCAGTGTGAGAAGGGACAGGGAAAATCTTCAGAATTCAGTGGTCTACGGAAAAAACAGAAAATTGGAAGCCAGAGGGAAACCTGAGACACAAAAAGAAATCAGAAGAAGGCAGTGAACTTAGACTACGTGGACAATGAAGAGATCCTCACTAGTGGATGTCAGTAGGGTTATCACATTTCTACAAGATACAAAAAGGTATGAGATGGCAAGGCGAGACGGGGTCAAAATGGACAACTGATAAAGAACTGGGAGACTGTGAATTTGGAAAAAGCAAAGACAGGCTGGAACCAGACACCAGAATATTCATAGAAACCCAATAACAAAGACAGAAACTGAAGTCAGACCTGAGTAAGCAGGCTCGAACATCATGAGGAGAGCTTGGGCATCACATGCACACACTCTTCTAAGATTTTTCAAGAGCAAATCCAGAAACTATAGCATTTTCACGTCATTTAAAGTAACACTACCCTAAGAGCTCTATCCTCTGACCCATGTAACATGCAGACATTCATTCATCTTTGACTCACCTACTGATTAATTTACTTAAAATATCGGTTAAGTTTTGAATGTGCAACAGGCACTTGATGCATGAAATATAGATCCCGAGAGTCCTAAAGAAACTTCATTATCTAATGAAATAGACAGATTCTCAAAGAGTTTGTTTTTGTAATTGGTTAAGCAGTGGCCAGTGCCCAGTACAGGTCGCAGTCAGGTCCCTATTCCATGTGTCTTCCCGTCCACACACAGGCTGAGACTCTCCACCGTTCATGAGCCCAGCAGCACACTCGTGGTCCTGGAGTGGGAACACTCGGAGCCACCCATTGGGGTGCAGATTGTAGATTACCTCCTCCGTCAAGAGAAAGTCACCGACAGGATGGACCACTCCAAGGTGGAGACAGGTGAGCATCCTCTACTTCAATGGGCTAGTCTTGATCCAAGGTGGAAAAAATAAAACGAAAGAACGCCCAGCCCAGTAGCTTTGATCCAGTTCCCCAGTATCCCTGGGTAAGAGGAAGGACCAGGGAAGAGGAGCTGTTGTCTCTTCCAAACAACAGCCATCTTGTTCATGCAAGAGTTTTTGCATGGTGAGCATCTGACGAAGTCTTGTTTTGATTTTGCTTTTCTTTTTGTTTATGAAAGAGGTGTCCATTTCATTGCCTCTAGGCACACTCACAAAGAAACAACAACACAGTACACTAGTTATCCTAGCCCACAATTAGGAAACAATTCTCTGCTAACCACTGCCATGATTACAGAAAAAAAATTCCTTTGTTAATAACCCCCCTCTAGGCAAAAGCATGTGCAAACAGATGGGCATGTCCTGTTTCTTGTCCTAAAAGCAAACTCAGGTTCAGCCAGGAGAGGGAAGCCTTGAAGGAGTGGAAACATCCCACGAAAAATGTTCCATACCTTAGTATTTCACTGGGAAAGGTCAACATAAATAATCCCTAAAGCTTACGCAGGAGATGAGGTCACCAGCAGGATGGTGGCATCCACAATATAAATAAAAGCAAATAGCTTCTGGCGAACCTATTTCTGAGGCCTGGAGATGTCCACAGCTGTCTTCAGACATAGAGAGCTGCCTACTGCTCCTTTCAAGACTGTTGTCTGGTGTGCACAGGTATTGCTAAAGTCTGGCAGTGACCACTGACCAGAATAGCTCTGCTCTGTCCCTGCCAAGAACATTTTACAAAAGAGTCACAGATGTGGTACGTACATTTTCCCTTAGTTGTTTCTGAACTAACTCTAGACAAAAGTCTCTGAATTGACTGGTTAAATATGAAACAGTCAAAAAAGACCATCCCTTCCAAGTCTCCCTTCTCTACCCTGGAGATTAGGGATTGAGCAGTTTTAAAGTTACGTTCTCATTAAGCTGATTCTATCCCATCATTGCCGGACCCCTGCTGCTCTTTATGTCTTTTCCCTTCCTTTCCCCCTGGGCAGAAACGGTGCTGAGCTTTGTGGATGACATCATCTCTGGAGCAAAGGCCCCCTGTGCCATGCCGTCCCAGGTGCCAGACAAGCAGCTCGCCACCATCTCTCTGATCATACGATGCCTGGAACCCGACACCCTTTACATGTGAGTACCACACACCTGCCTAGGGACTCCTTACCCTGAAAACCCCAAGGCTTGTCATTGGTTTCTTTTTTGCTGCTTGGATGCCTTTAGAGACTCGGCAAAAGATTTTGAACTTCTGAAGTCTTGTCCCGCTGGGCGCAGTGGTTCATGCCTGTCATCCAAACACTTTAGGAGACCGAGACGGGAGGATAGCTTGAGACCAGGAGTTCAGAACCAGCCTGGACAACATAATGAGATCCCATTTCTACAGAAAAGTAAAAATAAATTTTAAAATATTAGCTGGGTGTGCTGATGTGTACTCAGAAGACAGAGGCAGGAGGATCATTTGAGCCCAGGAGTTTGAGGTTATAGTGAGATATTATCATGCCACTCCATTCCAGCCTGAGATAAGGGTGAGATCTTATCTCAAAAATAATAATAATAAAATTAAATTTTTTAAGTGAAGTCTTATCCTAATTGACATTATAAAGAAGTTTTTCTTGAGTGCTTAGGCACTCAGTGCAAAGGATCTAGAAAAACAATGTAGTCTTATCCCTCAACAAATTTGCAACATAGAAGGAAAATATATACAAAACTGACTTTAACAGAAGGCAGAATTAGATCAATGCTAGCTAGAAGAGCAAGGGACATGTACAAAAGAAAGACATGATGAATTCTGACTACAGTGGGTGTCATCCACACTGGCTTGTGTGGAGTTTCAGTAGGAGGCGTAATGTTGGAAAAGGCACACCCGGGTCAGGAAGCAGGAAAGGAGAAGGTGAAGCCACATGAAGGTAATTAAGGTTCGTAGCAAGGGGTCTAGGCGGGCTGAGGCAGACAGCAAGTAAGAGGGAAAGGAAGACGGGGAGAAAATAGAGCGAATGTGATCAGACCGAGGAGGCTATTTTTTGTTTGTTTTTAGGAAAGGAATAGAATACCAAGAACTTTGCTTTAGAAATCTAGCTTCAGTGGCATTGAAGTAATTTATAGAGGTTAGAAACGGTCAGCATTTTCCTTCTTAGAAAATGCAGTGAACTATATCACGGCACTTGGAACAGCCCTATTCTCGCTATGAACTCTTCTCCATTTCTTCCTGTTCTGGGAACAATTGTAAAATATTTGTGAAGCAGAGATATAAAAGATGCCAGAAGAGGAGTGATAGTGACAAAATCTAAGTCATGATGGAAAAATTTGGGCACTAAAGCAGAATTCATAGTGATGCAGTTCTGGGACCTTTTGACCCCGCTAGTATGGAAAACATTTAACAGTTTACAGATGAGGTCACGAGAATAGACTCAAGGTTTCCAGAATAAATCATTTCCATTTCCACAGTTAAAAAGTTCAAAGATGAAAAGCACTAGAAGTTTGAGTGGCATTGATTGCAAGATGAACTTCGACACTGGTTGAGTGTCTTCGATATAGGAATAAAAGATTGTAGGCCATGCATACTGAAAGTAAAATGCGAAACAACAAGTGACATTCTAGAGGATGTGCACAGTATATGTGGCATACATGGCAATATTAAGACCAAGGAATGTTGGTTCCCCTTTTGGATGATGCCACCAATGCCATCTGTGACCCGCATCAGCTCTCTTGATGTGGGGAAGGAGGAGAAAGGAACAAGGATTTGGGAGTTCAGACTACCTAGCCTGCCGTAAGACATCTCTAACCCAGTGAAACTTGAATTGCCATTGATAATAAGGCTCAGAAATCCCTTAGCTGTGAAGTAAGTCACAGCTATTCATTAGGAGTTCCAAAGTTCCTATGAGCAAGAGGCTGGCATGGTTGTGTTAGGAGTATAGCATTTACCCACCCTAGGACCCTCTCATGTTGGCCTGCTTGGTTATGTTTCTGATCAAAATCTGAGGACAATGTCTTCTCTGACTTCTGATGGCCTTGGTTTTCCAGTACGTCCCTCCCATGTCTTGTAAAACACGAACTTTCTATCCATATTTATTTTTGAAAAGTCGGAGACGGTACGCAGGGCTAAAGCAGAAATAGTCAACCGCCACTAGGTGGTGCTGCAGATCAAAAGAAGAGGGCCGTGTGGACGGCCCGAGGGAGGTTGACATTCCTTTGTGGAAGGATCCAGGCTAACCGGTTCCTGAGTTCCTGGTACAGGGAGCGAGCCCTGGATTAACAGTGGAGAACATGACTGGGCGCAGTGGCTCACGTCTGTAGCCCTAGCACTTAGGAAAGTCAAGGTGGGAGAATTGCTTAAGGCTAGCCTGGGCAACATAATAAGACCCCATCTCTACTACTAATAATACTAATATTAAAGCTAATAACAACAATAATGAACAAGAGAATTGAGAATACATAAACTCCAAACCTGGTTTTGTCTCTATCTACCAAGTGCCTGTAAGCAAGACACTTAAACTTTCAACAACTAGAGCTGACCGCGTGAGTGCTTTACCCGAGTTTCTCTGAGAATGATCTCTGACTTTGTGAGGCTAGGACTACTGTTCCCATTTTGTGGTTGAGAAAACTGAGGTTTGACAAAGCTGAGAAACTTACTCCAGAACCACACAGCTGGCTGTTTGGGGGTTTCGCATGCTGCATCTTTCTCCTGGCTCCTTCCTGGTTACAGGGCTGGCTTTTAACTGGGCTCCACAGAGGTAGAAGTGCTTTTCAGCCTAGCTGGCATCCTTTGGTATCCTCTATATTTTATAAATGCACTTAAAAAACATTATTCTGAGAAAGGTTCATAGCACAAAAACAGCTCCTAGTTGGGAGGGATCTTGAAGTATGTCTGGTTCAACATCTCCATTTCACAAACAAAGAAGCTGAGGCCAGGGTGGGGAGGTGACAGGACTTCCTGTATCCTGACACTGATGAGCACTGAGGCCAGACCTGGGTTCACAGAAGGGTCTGCAACAACGATTTTTGAGCCCCCACCTCAGGGCAGGAGATTTCCTGCCCACAAGGGACCCTTTTGTCAGTATCTCCAGTGAGAGAAGGAAGCTCACTTGGGCTCCTAGAGGGTGGTCCCACCAAGGTTTGAAATACCTTGTAAATCCGTGGGCTTTTCACTTCCTAGTCTATAGAGGGGACACGGGTGCAAGGGGAATCGTTGCTCCACGTGGGAACCCCAGACCACAAGGTGCAAGTCTGAAATCTGCCCTGTGGCACCTCTGGACCCCACCCTGAGAACCTCAGCTCAAGGTAGACTACAGCAGCTGGGCAATGGGGCAAGTTGGTCCCTGACCTGAGTCTGGGTTGTGGGGCTGGACTGAACTGGTTCTACACAGGGCTGACCAGATGCACCAGCTCCAGGGTTCATTGGCCTCAGACACAATTCTAGAAGGAGTAGCAAGATGCTCATGAGGTGTTCAGGGCAAGGTGATGGACAATGCAGTGACTGCCATCACTAGGGGTCCAGGTGGCTAAGTGTTGCCCCTGGAAGCTGCATGAGGCCAGGTGCAATGGTCTCCCTCGGACCTTTGGGAGGGAGAGGCGTGGTGAGGAAAGAAGGGTAGCAAAACCCTGGATTTCGAATCTGGGTGGAGATTGGCACTAGCTAAGACCATTGATCAGGATGCAGGAGGACATGAGGCAGGAAGCCAGGAAGTGGACTGAGACACCGTGTGCAGATAGGACAGGACAGCTGACTGCTTGCTCCTGCTCTGACAGCAAGGAGGCCGGGGGAGTCCTGCAGGAGACCAGAAGGTGTGGCTTGGCCTGCCACGTTCTGAACCCAAGCCGGTCCTCATGGTCAGAGTCTTGCCAGGCCAGAGACCTCGGCAGGATGGTGACTACCTGGGTGAGGCCCTTGTGATGCCAGCATGAGGATCTGAGGGAAGTAGAGGAAAGACAAGGGACACGTCAAGGTTCACAGGCTCTCTCTCACACTCACCATCCTGCAGGTGTCTTTGCGGGGGGAGTGGTGGACACAGGCTGTCATTCTCTGTGGATTCCCAGCAGGATCATTAGGCAATTTCCATTTCTTTTCTAGTTCACCAGTTCATCTGCTTCGGGTCCTGCGGACGTCTACATGGGCCACTTTGCCTTGGGATGGCTCCCTTTCACCTTTCTTCCTCCCTGTAACGCTGCCGAGAGGAAGGAAAATCTATATTTGCCAATAAAGGCAGCCTCCTGTGGTGACACAGCTGAAAGGAAAGTGACAAGACAGGTGGCGTTTATGATTTTCATTTTTTTTTTTTTTTTGAGTTGGAGTCTTACTCTGTCACCCAGACTGGAGTGCAATGGCTGCTCCCGGCCACCGCAGCCTCGACCTGCTGGGCTCCAGAGATCCTTCTGTCTCAGCCTTCCAAGTAGCTGGAACTACATGCGCGTGCTACCATGCTCGGCTAATTTTTTTTGATTTATTGTAGAGATGAGGTCTCACCAAGTTGCCCAGGCAGGTCTCGAACCCGCAGGCTCAGGCAATCCACTCACCTCAGCCTCCCAAAGTGCTGGGATTACAGGCTATGATTTTCTTTGGACCAGTGGGACAGGTTATCAGAAGCCCTAGGCACAGACACCAGAGCCGACTGTCCTGGTTATGTTCAAATTTCCTTCTGAGTCACAGAACCTGGAGTTCTTCATCTTCCTCTGCATCTAGCTCCCTTGTCCAGGGGGGAAGTTTGAGGTGCAGACTTTGATGGCCATGCTTTCATCCTCTCCCTGGGGAGCTCATAGAATCATATCTTCACAGTGTCAGGGGACCACGAGGTTTTGCTCTGGGCTCTTGGTCCACCATGGGCAGTATCCATGGAAAAGAGTGAGCTGCTTGTGGGGAATCAAGTGTCCAGCCACAGGCAAGCCAAGGGACCCGATGGCAGGGTTGTTTTGCATCTCACTTTAAAGAGGAAACTGACCCTCAGTCCTATGCGTAGAGGTGTCAACCGTGCACAAGACAGAACAGAAGAGAACCAGTATGATTTACGCAGCATCATGAACCATGTTATGTTCCAGATCTTTCTGTGGGTTATTGTCTCATTTCATCCTCACAGTAACTTACAAGTAGTCATGTTAACATCTGTTTCCCAGATAAGAGAAAATAAAGCTCACAGTCATTAACTGTGACTCCACATGCCTTCAGACCCAAATTTTAACCATCTGCTCCCAAAGATACATGCTTTTTCCCTCAGCTTAGTGGTTGTCAAAATTTAACTGGCTTCAGAATCACCCAGAAGGCCTGGCAAAGCACAAAGTTCCTGTCCTCATCCCTGAGTTTCTGATGCACAGGTCTGGTTGGGGCCTGAGAATGTTCACTGCTCACAGGTCCTCAGAAGATGACGGTTCTGCTGGTCTGAGGACCCCGTTTGGAGAACCAGCCATAACACTTTCTATTGCCCAGTCCACCCAAGAGAGCAAGTTACAACCCAGGACCCACCAGGAAACAGAGAGAGGCTCTGGGCTGCATGCTTTCTGCCCAGAGTGAAGGCGGTAAAGATGACAAAAGCAGCCGGGGCCACTGCCACCCAGGCAAGCAAAGCTGGGCTAGGATCCCCAGCCTCCAACCATGCTCTCCCTGCTAACCATACTCTTCCCTCCCACCCTATGCCAGGTTCACCCTGTGGGGAGTGGACAACACAGGGCGGCGCTCCAGGCCGAGTGACGTGATCGTGAAGACCCCTTGCCCAGTGGTGGACGACGTCAAAGCCCAAGGTAAGAGACATTGAGGCTGGCAGAGTTCACAAAGGGATGACCCAGGGGCCATCTTTATAGGTCTTTGTACATCTGAAAGGTCATTTTTTTGTTGTTGTTTGTTTGTTTTGTTTTGTTTTGTTTGTTTTTGAGTTGGAGTCTCACTCTGTCGCTCAGACTGGAGTGCAGTGGCCGCTCCCCGCCACCGCAGCCTCGACCTGCTGGGCTCCAGCAATCCTTCCGCCTCAGCCTTCCAAGTAGCTGGAACTACAGGTGCACGCTACCACGCCTGGCTAATTTTTTTTGATTCATTGTAGAGATGAGGTCTCGCCTACCCAGGTGGGTCTCGAACCTGCGGGCTCAGGCAGTCCACTCACCTCAGCCTCCCAAAGGCACGGGATTACAGACTGAGCCACCAAACCCGGCTTGAAAGGTCATTTTGAATTAAAACATAGCAAGGCTGCGATTTAAAATTAACTGCTAGATCACTCCCTCTCTCTCAAAGATGTATCACAATGTTTAATTCTATATTTTGGAGCTTTATTGGTAAAGTACTGACCCTCTTTAGTGCAGGCCCCTGCCAGGATTGGTCCTCTGAATTAGGAAGAGCTTGTCTTCAGCTGACACCCACTGTTTATGAGACTTACCTCTGTTCCTGTGATGCTCCCTGACTGAGCTTGACATTGACCCCTGATTTTTATATCCCATCCACAATCAGAATTTTTCCATCCTGTTCACCACTTCTGTAGGGATCCAACACTGATTAAAGTGATCTGATCAACCACTAATTTGGTAGAATTTAACTGATAGCATTTTCATAAAGTTTCAATAAGAAAAATACTGTGGCCCAGCTGATTTGCCAGTACCCCTCAGATCACCTCATAGGTGGCTCCTGACTCTAGCTGTATCAGATTGACCAGCAGGAACACAATGCCAAAATGTCCAAGTGGTGACACTATGATGATGCAAAATCACGTGGACCTGTTGGTGTTAAAACCACTGATACGGTAGCACTGTGCTACATCTGAAAAGGTTTTCACATTTAATCTGCGTGGCGTGGTAAAGGCATGGTTATTTTCAACATAGACTTCTGATCATATCAACAGCCATTCTTCTTGTAACAAAACTACTTAACAGGCACATCAGGACCTAAGAGTAGTGGCTCCTGCCCACTTCTTCAACATATAAGCCCACTGCGCGTCCCTTTGTCAATTTCTGTGTTCCAGTCTCACAGCCTCCCTCAACTTCTCTAACACCATTTCCATCCTACCTCAGGGCTTTTGCACATGTCGGTCCCATTACCCCAAGTGCTCATATTCCTTTCAACTGATGAACTCCTACCAGTTTGCAAACCTCAGATCAGGTGTTTCTTCCTCAGGGAAGAAGGGGGCAGAGGCCACTATGTCCTCATAGTACTGTGTTTCTTTCCTTCAGAACGCTCATCTCAATTTGTAATTACAATGACATGTTCAATGTCCATCTACCTCATTACACAGTGAGGTCCATGAGATTAGGTGACCAGTCTTTTTTTCACACTCTTAGGTCTCTAACACCTCAAAGGCAGCATTTTTGACTGACCGGTTATAGAAAAACTGAGCCTTGAGGGTCCATGGTCCAAGTTCAGATTCCTGCTCCACCAGCTCCCTGCTTTACCTTGAGGAGGTTATGTCGCTCTATGCCTCAGTTTACGTATCTGTAAAAGATGGGATGATAGTATGCTAGATAATGAGATTCTAGTGAGAATTAAATGAGTTAATTCACTTAAAATAGTAAAAAAAAATGTGCCTCACGCATAGTGAACACTTAGTAAATGTTTGATATCATTATTATAAATAACCAAGCATAGAGTTTGCCCTCTCATAGGAACTCAGTAAGTATTTACTGAATTAATAGCACATCGCCCCCATTTTATAGATGTAGAAATTAAGATTCAGAGTAGAGTAAGTATGATGACCAAGGACACAAATATCTGGCAGAACCAGCACACACACTCATCATTTGACCCCAATTCCCATTTTGTCTGTGATGTTGCCCTTAAATATTTAGAGGGCTATTATGTAAAAGACTGAAGACCTGTTCTTTGTCTCTGAACACTGATGAAGAAGGAAAGGCTTGCATTCTGAGGAGTGTTCAAGTGACATGCCCAAAAGATGGCTACCTTTCAAGAGTGCCGATGTCCAGTGGGACATGACAATGGAGTGGAGACCTTCACCGTGAGGCAGATGTGCTTCTCTCTGGAGAGAGTACTGCTGGCTTGTGGGGCATGGGTTTTTGAAGGCCTCTGCAGTTCCTTGGTGTTGGAAGCAGAATCTGGGGTGAGAGGCTGTCTGGGGAGGACCCTGGGCCTTTTATTTCACCGGTTGATTTCTTCCTCTAAGCCAGAGAAGCAGGTGTTGAGGAGGTTCCATGCGGTTTCCATGTTGGAGGCCTTGCTGGTGTCCTTGTGGTTGGCAGCAGCCTGCTTGAAAAGGTTTGCTGAGTATACATCAGAGAGGTGGATTGGCAGGTGGCAGGAACAGTGTCTGATGCTACTGCAGGAAGGTTGGATAGAAAGCAGATCTAGGGTGAAGAGCGGCCAAGGTGGGGCAGTTTGCAAGAACAGACCGCAGCACAGTTTTCTCTGCAGGACTCCTTTGGGTCAGCTCTGGCCCTGCAGAGTCTGTCAAGGTGTGCTCTGCCTGCCTGTGCTTCCTGAGGAAGGGGAGTTTCTGAAACCCCAGCAGACCAGCACAAGAGCCAATTTAGTGCTGAGAAAACGAAATAACACTCGCAGGTCCTGTTATCCTTCAGCCGGGAAGGTGGCCTGCATAGGGGAAATCTGGAAATTAATGAGTTAGATTAATTGAGGATATCCTTGCAAATTAATGCAGTTCTCCCAAAAAACCATATGCTTGCCTCCCTCGAACCCAGATGGTGATCATAAATATAATCATGACACACTCAAGTCTGAGTTTAAATTGGATAACAAATGGGAATTACCTTTTAAGTGACCCAGAGCATGACTTCAGCTCCTCATTATCTAGCAGGAAGCCAGACTCTATCTCTTTTATGAACACTTTTCCTAAACTGGATACTTCCTATGAAGAATTTTACCACATCCTGACATGAAGATCACTGTGGAAATAAGTTTTTAACCAATGTTTTGCTGAAACCCACCTTCCCCAGTAAGCGCAAGCTCATGTCAGTGATAAGACCAGCTGTCTTGGGCAGATCTGGGTTGGGTCTTCTGAAGGTTTTTCCTGAAGCTTCATTGAGCAAAGGCTTGCTGCAATCCACTCCACCTCTGACATCCATCCTCCCTCCCTAATACCAGATATAAATATAAATATTTACCCATTCCTTGATTCGCTACTTCCACAGCCATTTATCAAGACCCTCAAGTAGATGCTAAAAGAACCAAAACAGGTAGACTCAAAATCTGCTCCAAGATTTTTATAATCAGATTTCATGAATTCGTTAATTTACCCAACAAATATTGCACCCTTACTCAATCCCTGTCCTAGGCATTAGGAGCAAAACCCCTGCCTCATGGAGCTTATATTTTAGCAGAGGTGATGGACAACAACAACAGAATAGAAAAATATATAATATGTCAGATGGCGATATATGTTATGGAGATAAATAGGCGGGGAGATGGGAGAGGAGAGACAGAGGGGGGGAATTCAACTTTACAGGGTCTGAGAGGAAGGAGGAAGCCACACACATATCCAGGGAAGTTCACACCAGAGCGAGTGAGCTCGACTCGTGTCTGAAGAAGAGAAAGGAGGAAACAGTGGGAGGGGAGAGGGCTGGAGGGAAAAGAGGTAGGAGGGAGAGGGGCAGAGAATGAACCTCCAAAGGCCATGGGGATAATCCCACAGGGCCTGGCCATAAGAATAGGGCAGTGAACTCTGCCTGGGGTTGGGGTGGAAGCCCCGGAGGACTGACCAGGGGATGACATGATGGAACTAGATGTGTTACAGGTCATTCTGACTGCTGTACAGAGAGTGGGCTCCAACAGGGGTGTGAGGTAGAAGGAGGGGACAGTTAGAAGGTGATGGCAGTTCTGAGAAGAGATGATACTGTTTTAGACTAGCAAGGTAGTGGCAGATGTGGAGAAAAGTGGTCCAATTCTCAATTATTTTGATGTTAGAACCAAAAGTATTTGTTAATGGATTGGATGTAGAGCATGAGAGAAAGAAGAGACATGGAGCCAGGCTCAATGGCTCATGCCTGTAATCCCAACACTTTGGGAGACTGAGGAGGGAGGATCACTTGAAGCCAGGCGTTCGAGACCAGCCTGAGCAGTGTAGAGAGACCCTGACTCTACAAAAAAAAATTTTTTTTAATTAGCCAATGTGTTATTGCACGCCCATAGTTCCAGCTACACTGGTGGCTAAGGCAAAAGGATCACTTGAGCCTAGGAGTTCGAGGTTGCAGTGAGCTTATGATCACACCACTACACTCCAGCCTGGGTGACAGAGCAAGACACTATCTCTAAAAAAACGGGAAGAGCCGGACTTGGTGGCTCAGCCTGTAATCCCGCGCTTTGGGAGGCCGAGGTGAGTGAATTGCCTGACCCCGCGAGCTTGAGACATGCCTGGGAAACTTGGCGAGACCTCATCTCTACAATAAATCAAAAAAATTAGCCGGGAGTGGTAGCGCGCACCTGTAGTTCCAACTACTTGGAAGGCTGAGGCAGAAAGATCACCAGAGCCCAGCAGGTTGAGGCTGAGGTGGCCGGGAGCGTGCCAATGCACTCCAGTCTGGGCGACAGAGTGAGACTCCAACTCAAAAACAAAACAAAAACAGGAAGAGGCATGTCAGTCTTACCACATATTGTGAAAAGCACTGTACAGAATACCAAGGGAACACAAACCAGTAGCCTGAGTAGATGGAGGAAAGGCAGAAAGGGAAGCAAGCTGAAGCTCTTTGAGAGCACTAGCAGCGAGCCATGTGGTTTCAGTCAGGTAGAGAAGGACATAAGATCGGAGTTGTGGCCTGGATTGAATGGAGGAGCATTGAAGAACAGATTGAATAGC